GTGTGTGTGTGTGTGTGTGTGTGTGTGTGTGTGTGTGTGTGAGTGTGCATGTGTTGGGGGCGGTTAGGGAGATTGCCTGTGGTGGAATAAGAAATTGGGGTTGATGGTGGCTCCCTCAGCATGGGTGGAAGAGGGCAAAGTGGGAAGAGCTAGCAGGAGAGGGACAGAGGACAGAGCCCAAGAAGAAGCAGGACACACTGGGATGCGCTTTAAGCAGGAGGATGAGCCTTTTGCACTACAACAATGAATATTTCTATGGGGTCATTTTATGGAGTGGCACAGCTCTCACAGGGAGGTGAAGTGACAGCGAGAGACGAGACTGGAGATTTTCCGTGTCCACTGCATAATGACAAATCCCAGGACCCATGCCCGGGGTGACTCTGGCTGTCTATTTAATTCAAGTCAGTGTTATTTTCAGAAAGGACTTTTTTTTTTTTTTTTAAAAAAGAATGTGCACCATCTTCCTGATTTGGGAACTTTCAACTTAATCCAATGTAGATGGAGTTCCTTGTGGCAGTTGGCGGTGTCCTGAGGACTTGCACTGCAGTATCCAGAGATGATCCGGGACCTACTGTGAATTCTACCTTTAGCACATTGCAGATGAGAACCGATCTTTCCACTGTCTAGAAAGACCTGCTCACCCTTCCAACAAGAAAGATAAAAACACAGGAGCGCTACATGAAAGATAAGAAAGGACCACACCCATCAAAACCAACTCTATGGGAAGAAAAACTCAAGGGGCTGTCTGTGCACCGTGGCTTCCTGAGCCAGGCGTTTCCTTCCCTAAAGCAACACATTTAGAACCGTTTTCAGCACTGAAGGGCGACGGGTCTCTGTGGCTGACTTTTATTTTTAACTAGAGTCTCCCAGGGAGTGGGGACACATCCAATGCCCTTACCTCACTTTCCGTCCCATGGGGCTGTCTGCCATGCCTGTCCCCTGGAGCAGTAAACTGTCCCCTGGAGTGGGTGGGGGTGAGTGATCTGGGCATGCTCGGCTCCGAGGGGACAGCTTGCAAGTCTGTTAAACATAAAACGAGAGCACAAGGTCGTGGGCTGAGGGGATGGTCGGGGGAATACATGGTCTGGCTTTCTAAAGAGCTGAGGGGAGAAACTCCCTAGCAAATTCCCCAAACTGTGTTAAACCAGTTACGGCATATGTGGGTAGCCTGCAAGTTAATTTCTTTTACCCTACAGTGGAAGCCTGTTTGGGTTCTCATGCTGAGTACAGGCTAATGCCTGCTAGGATTCCTACATTACAACAGCAGCAGGTTTTGTGCGCAAGGTCATGGCCGATAAGTGTGGTATTGGCATGGTATCTAATAGGTATTGACTCTGGTCTCAGGAATTCTGCTGTTAGTCCTTAAAACATGCAGGAGGGGTTTTTAATTAGCATGCAGAACTTGCACCATTGCAGCTGAGCATCTATGATGCATGTAGCGCTGTGTTTATCCTTAGTCACACACAGCACTCTAGTGAGATCTCCCTGACAGGAACTCTGTGGGAAACTCCATCTGAAGTTGAGTTTCTCAGTCCTAGCTACACAGAACAGTTGTGATAGCCCTTGTCCATGGGGACATGGAAGTTCCAAGACCTACAGTGACTGCCTGAAACTGCAGATAGTACTGAATCTTATGTTAGTTTTTCCTAAACACACATGGTAAAATGTTTCATGAATTTGACACATTATGAGATTAATAAAAATAACTAATAAAATAAAACAATTCAACAATATACAAAAATTGTCAGCATCACTACTCTTGCACTTTGAGCCAGTATCAAGTAAAACAAGGGTTATTTGAACACAAGCACTAAGATACTATGACAGTCAACCTGATAAGCAAGAGGGCTACTAAGTGATTAATGGGCAGGTAGCATATACAGCATGGATACGCTGGAAAGGAAAGGGGTGATTCACCTACCAGGCCGGATGCAGTGGGATCGTATGGGATTTCATCACACTACTCAGGAAAACACATACTTTATAATTAATAGCTTGTTTTTTTTCCTGGAATTTTCCATTGAATATTTTTGGATCACATTAGACCTGAGTAAATGAAACCATGCAAAGCAAAACTGATGATAAGGGGGGACTGCTATTCTTGGAAGTTCTGGGAAATACCTCCAGCTGAGAGACCAACTGGGTCAGAATCTCCAGGGCATGGGAGCCAGGCAACTGAACTTCTAAAATTTCCTGAGGAAGTTCTAACTTGCAGACAGGCTTGAGAATTGTGGATTAAAAGTTCTGATAAGGAAGAGATCACGTTTGCCTCACTTTGATGGATAAAATCTGAGGAATATGGCAATCCTCTGTAGCAGAGCTTGTGTTTGATTGAGAAAGCAGTGGCCACCATTTTTGCAGCTCTTAAGACGCTTCCACCTTTGCTTATTATAGCTCTGCTCATAAAATTAAAAGACTCATAACATCAGACAAGAGTAGATTAGTAATATATACAAGGAATACCCTAAGAATGAAATATTATACAGATATTCAAAACGATTATACAGATTGGGTTATTTACACACATTTATTTAAGAAGTACTTATAAAGAAAATTTTGTGTGTTAAACAAGGCTTTAGGGATAGGGAAGCAAACAAAGAGGTGGTTTAAAGACAGCATGCAGCTGGGTGTGGTAGTGCACACCAGTAGTCCCAGCAACTTGGGAGGCTGAGGAAGGAGGCTTGCAAGTCTAAGGCCAATCTCAGCAACTTAGTGAGATCCTGTCTTGAAAAAATAAAAAGAAAACAAAATAAGAGCCCTAAAGTATGTCACTCAGTGATAAAGCTCCTCTGGGTTCAATCCCAAGAACCAAAACAAAACAAAACAAAACAAAACAAAACAAAAAACCCTCAGAAAACATATTATTAAATACACTGTTTTTCTAATAACAGTATGCATATTATGCTGATTTTCTAACTTACATGCATAAAAACGGGGGAGGAGATAGATGTATGAAAATTTAAATTAATATGGTTATCTTTGTGGGATGATTTTAAATATAATTTGAATTTTCTTTCTTTTTTTTTTTCCTTTTAGATTTTCCCCCTAATGCTGCGTGTTTAAAATATTGTAAGGTATATATTTGATTTAAAATATTGTAAGGTATATGTTTGATTCCGTTTCTCAGGTGTCTCACAACTCTAATAGGAACCTGTTAACTGATTGTCACATAGCAGGACTGGTATGTGCTTTGGTGACAGTGTGGCTGGGCAGGATGGTTAAGTATTAGTGCAGAAACTTCACACCTCTTGATACTGGCAATGATATGTCTGTCTGCTGAGGTTTAAAGTGCTGTAAGTAATAATTACAATAACACTCCTAGGCTTTCCTTATTCGATTAGCAGCTTGTTTTCCTGGGTATGTGTCTGCGACATTACTAATCATTCCAAGACGGAGCAAGGGAGTGAATTTGCAAGCCACCAACTGCAATACTGAAACTAGCCACGAGATGGCGATAGAGATTAAAAAGTGGAAAGGAAGGGCTCCCTGCAAATCCCGCAGATGTGGAAGATGGGTCTCCCCAGCAGATTGTCATCTCTGCAAGCTGCCATCATCCCCTAGTGTCTTCACTCTCTTGCCCCTGCTCCGCAGAAGGGAAAACAGGTGAGGCTTCTAGAATCTCCTTTTCCTTCAACAACAGGGCTGCTTTGCCGAATCTGGAGGCCCCTGCGACTCCTGACTGAGCAAAGGGTTTGGCCCTGAGTGAGCTGTCTCTGAGGAGGGGACCTTGCCATTTGTCCTGGGGGGGAAACCGTGTCTGAGGTAGTGGTGGGAGAAGAGGAAGAGGAAAGCACACTGCTTCTCGCCTTCATCAATCTGAGGCTGGAAAGCAGGGCCGATAGATCCACTGAAAAATAATGCCACAATCATCGTGCACAGACTAGGGGCACTGCAGGTTACAAGGCAGGGAGAAGGGGCTCTCCAAAGAACAAGCTTAAAAAGCCCTGTGCAGGTGACCGCAGGGCCATCTTGCATGTATCTACACCTGTCCAGGCACCAGCTGCCCACTTATCTTGCTGCCTGCTCTGTTTTGAGCCACGGGATTATTCATTATCCTCCATGAAGCAATTCTAGTGGAGACTCGGGCGAGGGAGGGAGAGCAGGGGAACCTTAAAGCAGCATTTAATTTTCCTGTTGTTATGTAAAAGTTAAAAAATCAAAATTTTCAGTTTCCCCGGCCTCGGTAGCATTGGCATGTGTGACACACAGTAAGCAGGCTCCTGGGTCTCGCAGGCACTTTTGACCTTGGCTTGGTACCTGACTGGCCATGAAGTCCTTTCAACAGTTCAGGGCTCAGTTTTCCTCACCTGTAAGATGCAGCTTAGCAGAGGAGTCAGGATGGCATTCACAAAGGGCCTAGCGTAGTCCAGCACATAGTAGGAACTCAAAACACAGTAGTCCCCTTAGCGATAGTTGTATTTTCTGTAGTTTCAGTCATTGGCTGGCAACCACAGTCCGAAAATATTTGATGGAAAATTCCAGAAAGAACAATTCATAAGTTTTAGACAACTTCTATTACCGTGTGTTGTCATAATCACTCTGTTTCACGTTATTGTGGTGAACCTCTCACTGTGCCCAGGTTATAAAGTAAGTGTTATCACAGGCATGTTTGGGTAGGAAGAAGCAGTGCAGCCCTGTGCCACGTAATGTTACGTCTGGGTCAATAATGACGGGCGCTCCCTCGGCTCATGCTGGCCCACGGTGGCAGAGGTGCCTCTGTTCACACATGAACAGAATCGCCCCGTCACACATTTCTCAGAAGGTCCTCTCCTCCCACCGTGCATGACTGAGTCTCTGGCTTCAGGTATCCACTTGGGGGTTTGGAACACATGCCCCCAGGATAAGAGGGACCCCTGGGATGGGCCTGTCCTTTCCCATATCCTCTTCGACTGTGTCTCTGGCCTTAGGTGCTGCTGGAACACTCCCGGCTCGATTCTGCACTTTTTCCTCCCATTTCCTTCTCTGGGAGCCTCGATTTCCCTTCTTTGCCCTGAGAAATCCCAGCATTACCTCAAGGTCAGGTTCAGCAGACCTGGCTCTTCTTCGGAGCCCACCCCTCCAACCCTGGTCGGTGTCTTAGAGAAGCCTGTCCTCTTTGCTGGCATCATTCATGTCCCCTGGGAAAGCTGTCCTACTCCACAGGGGTGACCTTTCTTGTCTGTGTGCTCTCTGCCCTGGGCTGTGTGTCCCTGGGGCAGACAACAGCGACGTCTTACACATCCTCCTGTCTCTTTGGATCAGTGCAAGGTGAACTGCAGTTTCTCGTCACGCCCTGACTCCGTGGAAAGGAGACCCGGGTCTATACCCTTGTCTGAAACAGCAGCTGCCGCTGTCCTGCTCAGCTGACCAGGAGCTCCAGGCGCAGTCCACAAGCAGGAGCAACCTAACCGACGCCATGACTTTCACAACCAAACCAGCCCGGCACTTGGAGATTTTGCACTAAAGTCCAGAATACCCCCAACGAGCCACCAACCCACGTGGGTCTGCGTCTTGCACCCCTTCTCCTTGGGCAGTGTGGTCCCACTTGGACCGAGGTCTGAAGAACCTCTGTCACAGCAGCCATGCACGTGTGGCCTCCTCTTCACATACAGTAAAGCCTCACTAACTGCATCGTGTGGTGAATGAGCCAGACCCTGTCCTGGAACTTTCCGTTTTAATAGAGATCGGTTTTCTCAAACGGGATCCTTTGGCCAAGACGACCAGTTTTGACGAGTTCAAACTGAGCGAAACTGCTCCCCTCCACAGTCACTGGCTTTGCAACTTAGGAGGAGCTGGATGCACTCAGCACCTTATTCTCGGGGTTCACGGGGAGCACAGTGT